CAGCGCGCGGACGAAGAGGCGAGGCGGGGCGAGGGTGGCGGCGCGGTGCGGCGGCGCCCGACACCACGCGAAGCAGCCCGCCCACGTGACGCACGCGTTTGCACGGGCGCGACACGCCGCTCCTGGCTCCCGCAGCTCGTTATTAACTCTTCGATGCACCACGTGACTCTAAGCGGCCCGAGATTGTGAAAGTGTCTTGGAATAAATGTCACAAACCTATGGATAGGGGTCGAAGAAGATCACTTTTTGCCAAAGAAAATTTTATATAATTAAGTTATATGTATAGTTCACGAGGCATTTACTCCCTTTTCTTGTTGTTGTTTTTTTGTTGTTTTGAGCACAGAGTTGCTTGTGGTGAAAGTGGCCTTAGGATGTGATTCACATCCCAGTCTTTGATCCAAGCTTCCTTGGAAGACTACCCCCGACGCGGGTCTGGGGACCTTCCATCTAGCAGGCGTCCCCTCGGGCGCGGGCCATCCACTAAATGCTGCTGGGATTTTACTCTCGCTTTCTCCACCAGATGCCTGTCTCAGTGCTCACTATACCTGCACTGTTTGCTTAATAGAAAGTGAGATCTAGTTAGGGCGGGATTTTACGAAGGGATTTAATTTTGCCGATCACACCTCCAGGGTTATTTTACATGTCACAAGTGTGACACGGCTACGGTGGTTTTTTTGGCCCTTCGGAAATCCCGGCACCTCGACCCGGAACCTGCGCACTGGTGGTTCCGAGGCCAGTAAGCTAACCCCTCAACAACCGAGGCCTCCCTCAGCAGACAATAACAGTGGTGTTATGAAATACTTTCTCTCATTTTTTCATCTTCCAATTTCAGGAAATTCAAAATGACTGATGATAATTAGAGCTGCGCTTCGCCTTTAATTTAAGCGTTCGTTGTTCCTTCCGGTAAAAAACGGGGTAAAATTAGAAGCAGTTTTTGAATCTTCTTTTATATTGTCCTTTGAAATATATACGAGGGCAGAATTTTAAAATAAACATACAGAGTTGTTTCCAAAAAGCGTTTTTTTTAAATTGCCTAAATATCTTACAAAATTAATCGATATCTTCTGATATTTTCGAAAAACTGTTCTTACTCTTATTTAAAGACATGCTTTTGAAGACCAGTTTTCATTGAGGAAAAAATATGATCACTATTGTACGAAGAATTCGAATTTTTATAACTTAAACAACTTTCGAAAATGTAGAGATTTAATAGAAAATGTTACCTGGAGCGCAGTTTTAAGCGATTTCTAGGATATTCAAGGACAAAATTGAATAAAAATGTGAAGCCATTTTTGAGAAATTTTTTCTAATGTTGAAGCTTTCTGTAAAGTACTCCGAAATATCAAAATACCATTTCACACTTGCAAGACCTCGGGTACGTTCAGATCGATCTGAGAATATATATTTTCTGTATCAATGACCTACAAAACGGCGATTCTGACTGCACATTGTGTTAGACGAAATACGAGAGTAAAAGGAATTATTTACTACGAATATGATCGAGTTTTATCCACGTGTTTGTTGTAGGATCTGGAAATAAAAAGTTTTCCTCTCAAAATGTTCGTTGACCGATTGAAATACTTTCTCTTTACTACGTTCATTTACAGTTCTACGTTAGTAAGAAGAGCAAATAGAAAATGCTGTAGCAAAGTAGCAAAATGCAGTATACAGTTCATGTTTATCAAGCTTTAATTGGGTATAGTTTCGAATTTAGCTTCAAGAGTATTTTTAGTTCAATTCAAAACGATTGCGTTGTGATTACCGATCAGCTACAGGCTTGGTGCCAAGAGATTCCAGGTTCACATCGTTATAGTGGAGAATAACACAGGCGAATTTATCCTTCTCCCTTTCTCTATCTCCCTACATGAACACAACACAAATACACACGAAACAAATGTTTAAGTAGCGAGACTAATGGAGGGGCTGCTGCTAGCACGCACCAGGGGAAATAACTGCCCGAGTCCCGATGCAGAAACTCGCCGATTGCACGAATGTGACGGTGTCGGATTGCAAAACTGGCCTGCAACATAATTCACATTCCCTTCTCTGTAACTTTCCAGAAAATTCACCAGCATAATGAAGTTATTGAAGCATGAAAAAGACGAAAATAAATTTACACGTATAATTTCACGATTCCTTCCCTAAGATATTTTTATGATGTAAACTTGTGTGAAACGACACAGCAGCTTCTCTGATTATGGATGATAAACTCAAAATAATATAATTAGTATTAATCGAACAACATTAAATTTTATTTATAAAAGCTCATTGGAGCAAGAGAGACTGCCCAGAACACTAAGCTTACCCGAGAAACTAAAGACATATATAATAATTTCGAGGTATTCTTCTCTGTTAAACTATGTATTTCTTTAAATTGCAAAACGAATACGAGTATATTTACTAGAAGTGAACCACAATATTATTTTATCACAAGAGGATTTGGTTTTTAATGCAATTTAAAGGCCTTTATTTACCGATAGGAGAAGTATTTTACGAAGGTGTTAATGATAACCGAAAATGTTTGGCCTTCCTTTTCACATGAATGAAATCTTCTCAATTTTTTCAAATAACAAAATAACTTCAACTCTCACACTATTTGTTTCTTGATACAGAATTACTGATTTATGTAAGGTTTTTATTGCTTCAATTATTGTTAACTCGTAAAATCTTTTTATTTAACTTAATTGATTATATTTTCAGTTGTAACTGTTTTTTTGAGCTCACTAATAGTTGAATTATTTTTATATTTATTGCTCTTTATGTGAAATCAGTGTATTTCTTATAATAGCAATTTATGACAGTGAATATAAATGGAATAAGAATAAAATTTTAATGCAAGAAAGGACATCTACTAAAATCGCCTCTTCTCAGGTCATTTTCGAATATATTGCTACAGATGTGAAACATTTTTCTCTATTCTTCTCTTCGACTATCACATTAATTTTATTTGAGAAAGCGTTCCACGTTTTTTGAATAGAAAAATATCTTCATACGTAGAACTGTATAGAAAGACGAAAGCTATTCAAACCGCACGACATACAATCGTAACTTTTGTCTGGTATATGCGACCGTTTTACTGCAAGAACATTACGAACGAATTCACTGAAATGAAGACGGGGCGTTTCGTCCATAAAACAAGAGTGTCTTCGACTCCCATACGACGAAGCCAGCCGCGTTACCCGCGGGTGTCCCGGGAATTGGCGAGCAGCTGGAAATACGGCGACACGAAATGGCGGCGATCCGTCAAAACAAATGGACATTTAATCTCTGGCGCGCGACGACGGCCATTTTGTGGCTTGCACTTAACCTAGAAGTCTCCGAAGGCGCTTTGTCTGCCGGAGAAATACAAGCTCTTCGTATGCGCTCGTGCTTCCGTGAGGCGTATGTTTCACGTCCTTTAGCGAGCTGAAGATAACGGGAGCGCTAAAGGGAGTAGTATAAAGAATGAACGTTATTAATTCGTACGATTTCATGTGAAGGGCTGTATGTTCCAAATTGTTTCGTTTCTCTTATTTAACATGAACAGTTCTTAACGAAAATGTTCCTCTAATGCGTGTGTTTTGAAGTTTGACAATCTTTTATCAAATCTATAACAGGATCTATTTATTACGTTGAATCGTAATTCAATACCTTCTTCCTTAGTATCATATTTTATGACTTAGATTAGCTTGATAGGAGTTACAGATTTATTTTATGTGCTTAATATAATACCTTAACAACAGCTACTCTTAGATAAATTCAAGAAAACTAATCTAATATTTTACCAATAACATTACAATTATGACAAAATCAATACATATATTAATACCGTGACTATCTTTGTGCATTTGTTGGAAGATACATTAATCATTACAAATATTTGAGCGTAAATTTAAACATTCTTGAATACAAAAGTAAACATTTTTAATTTGCTGAACATCAATGAAAGTTAGCACTTCTCTTATATTGTTATTCTCTATATAATGAGCACGTTTAGGAATATACAACATACACTCTTCTATTACTTTTTTGAGTGATTCATCTTCAACCAAATTACCAACTGTACATATTTTTGATGTGTCAATTTTACTTTAATTGTGTATGCAAGGGTCTCTCGTCCCTCATTATTACTCTCGCCAACTTCTCTTGCACATGTAAATGCTATTATATGTATATTATATATTATATATATATAATATATATATACAATATATATATACATATATATATATATATATATATATAATATATATATTTATATATAGATACAGAGAGCAGAATAGAGATAGAGAGAAGAGAGAGGCTACCATGTCTGGCAAACTATACCAAGGACATGTGAATAACGACTGATACACAACGTCTGGGACGTGTACATCTCATAGACAGTTTCATTCGAAACTAATGCATGAACATGTTTTTATGGCCTTCTAAAATCGTCGCTTACGTTTTTTTCGAGTTCTCTTACAGATTGTGGGACGTGTGTTTCGAAAATGGTAGTGCAATTACGCCAATTCCTTTATGATCGTGTTGATTAAGAGAGATTTAAGATAGAGGTTTAAGGCTATGTTTAGAATTTTAGTGAACTCGTGAGAGTTTAAAGAAGTTTCAAGTTAAAAATAAACAATATTTAAGAACAAGCCTTTTGTGACTATATAGGTTGTGTACTCAACTTTGACCCATGGTCTAGGACAGAATACGTTTCACAAAGTTACGCTCACACACCGAGTGCATAAGAGTTATACACACCCTCAAAATCATGGGCCGTGCATATAACAGATATACCCGCCCACAGTACAGAACTAGTCTTCCATAAGATTTTGTCAAGCTAAGTTTGACAGAAAAGTTTTAAGATTTCTTGTTCGTTTGTTGTTTATATAAGGGATTTCGTTACTTTAATTCGGCTGAATCTTTTCAAAATTAACATGTTGATTCGTACGTGATGTGAACATATTATTAATGTGAGTCATGCAGAAATTGATTTATTAATTTTTACATAATGTGTTTGGAATGCATAATTTGTTATGCATCATTCATACATAATTTTCTAGGAAGAAAGTTTGTCATGTACGCAAAACCTTCCCTCTAAGAAGAAATAACTTAATACTCACGAGCCAGCGATTACGATAAGAACTCAATTTTCATCAGCTGGAAAGAGATTGGTGCTGGTCGATGCTGCAAAAAATTACTAATAATTCCGTTGAAGGATTAATATAATGGTTAAGATTTAAAATGGCGAGGGGGAAGAGGATATTAAAGAGCTCTGCATACCATCACTCAGAGCGGTAATGGACACTGGTCACGCAAGACATGAAGTCACCCACGAGACCGCGGTGGGCCGGAGGTATTGCACACAACCAGTGAGGCAACGAGAAGCGATAAAGCCCCGCATCAATTTTCCTTTGCCTATTTTACCCAACGTTAGGAGCCCTATCGATCTGTATGTAAACTACGCAACACTGGCATTGGCAACGGAAAGAGACAGCTTACGGAACATTGCGAGTTAATTGGCCAGGCGCTTGTGAGTAAAACATCCGAGACTTTTTGGTGCCTATGGGAACTGAATGCGTTTATCTGTAGCCTGATCGTCTGTTTCCGTGGATTCACTGCTTTCTTCCAGGCGAATGCAGGGGCAGTGCTTTTTAGAAACGAAATAATGGCCGAGCGTCATATTTTCTTCTCTGCCCTCCTATTCCCATCCACCTTTCTCAGTTCGGTGCGCGGTGCCGTGTCCAGTACTTCATAATTGAACAATTGAATCAAAATATCAATCAATTGACTTGATTGATAACAATAACAATAACAACAACTATAAGTATTGAAAACTAGGATATGAAATTTAAACTTGACAATATTTAACCATAGCTTACCACCTTAAGTTGATTTTGTAGCATTTTTTGGAAAATTTGAGGTTAATGAAAGAATAATCAGATGAACAAAAAAGGAATTTTCCCAGTACGTGAATACGTTTTCTGTAATTTAGTTACCCAAAACCAGTGAGGCGAAAAATGTAGAGCTAGAATTCATTTTAATAAACATGCAGGTTATACAGATATGATGCCTGTAATCTGATGATATTCATATAACCACATGTATAAGAAACAGTTTCCTTTCCTTTCAGAATTATTTAGTTTCTCTCTCTTTCTTTTGCTTTCAAAAATTATGATTTTTTAAAAAATAAAGAGATATAGCTTCACATAATTTGTAGGGACATTAAGTTAACAAAACTCCCAAATACCCCGAAAATTTAAATGTGTATTTTATCAACAAGCGAAGGAGAGTTTTATAAAAGCAAACTGTTCAATGTATAATATTTTTACGAACACAAACACATCCCCCAAACGAGAATCGCTTTCAACATTTACATTTTTTAATTAAAAAGATAATAATCAAACTGTTTGACGTCTAAATACTGATACAGCTTTTAAATATCTCTGAAATTATGCGTATAATATCAGAAAAGCTCTGGTACTGGGCCAATTACTTAATTTAGTTTCTATCCCTATAACTTACATGTTTATTAAAATAACTATTCTTGAACTATTTTTTACTTATATTTGTAACTAGGAGAACATTTTTATCTTCTTTGTACTTAAAAGTTAAAGTAATTATGTTTCACAATAAAAAAATTCAAGTGCAATTCTTCTTGCTAATTTTCATGAAAGACCCAGAAATTAAAAGAAACTTAACTGCTTTTTTTCATTTCGTAGTTTCGTAAATAAAGTGCACAGAATGATCGAGCGTGACAACTAACACAACCTAATAAACGCATCTTTGGAATATCTCCAATTATAATGATAATGTCTTATATTCACTTCACATAACATATTAAATGATTTCAATGTTTCCCCAAATTTTCTACGGAAGGAAGGTTTTGTCTTCTTAGATTTGAGTGACTAAAGATCCACTGTAACATTACAAATTCCATTTTTCAGTGCTATTTGGTTTATTAAAAATGTTTCTTGTATTCCAGCATTATAAAAGAACCTTTTCTGTTGCAATAAATCGTTCTTAAGTGGGCATTTTACGGCACAAATGTTGACGTATTAGATTTTATGTCACGAATGATTGCGTCATAATACATTCAGTCAATCGTAGCGAGAGAATCGGGGGGAAATAGAGCTACACGGAACAGCCAACCACCGTTCACTCGCACAATGTCAAATACCTGAGTCGTCACAGGGAAGTTGTTTCGCTAAATTAAGTTTGATTCTTTTATAAATGTGTAATGCTCCAATACAAAAAAAAACAATACAGTATGCAACTCGTTTATAATGTTGCTTTATTACATTGGTACAGATATGAAAACTCGCTCCTAAAGTCGCTCGTTTTCAAAACATGTAGTCATGGAATAAAGCTTAACATTATGAACTAATTGCATAAACTACTATTGTCAAACATCTGGGAAACCTCAATAAATACCCAAACCGGCAGCATTTTTCAGGCGCGGTATCAATGTCAGACGCGGCCGCGTGCCCGGCTCAAGCGGTCAGCCTGTTCGAACGCGCCCCAATTGCGAATGCAGCGCTGCGGCCAGAGCACGCGACCGCCGCCGCGACTGTCGCGCTCGGCTCGACACGTCGCGTAAATCAATTATAAGCCCTCCGCCCCTCTCCCCTCGCCACGCCCCCCTCGGCCCCTCGCCACCGCGCCCACTCGCTGCGCCGACCCCCCGTCCAGCCCCGTGTCGCCCCGCCTCGTTCCCTCCGGTCCACGTTCGTCTCGTCCCGACTCGTTCCCGTGCCCGTCGCGCGACTCGTTTACCCGTCACTTTCTTCGCTGCCACCAAACACTGACTGTCCTCAGCTCCACCCTTCCTGCTCTCTAACTTCTACAACACCGCCCGCTCTCCTGTTTGCGCCGACAGATCCACTCCCCACGTTTGCATGCGCCCCCGCCCACACCCCGCCGCGTTCAACCCGCACCACCCCCTCGCACCCCGTTCTACGTCGTTCTACCCGCTCCTCTCGCCCCGCTCCGCTCCTCCCCGCTCCGCCCCGCTCCACACCACCCCACTTCACCCCAGCACGTCCCGACTGTTCTCCCACTCATTTCCCATCTGCTTTCTTGCTGGTACCAACTGCGCCGGTGTACTCACCTCCGTTGGAGATCCCCACTTTATCCCCATCCTCGCCCTGTCCCGGGCTCCGCCCCGTTCCCCGCCCACGTCCTCTTCCTCTTCCGACCGCCCTGTCCCCGTGCGCTGGGGAGAAGCGTGTTTCCCGGAACTGGGCCAATCAGCCTCTGGGCAATTGCGACTTTTATAATTAATGCAGCATTCGTTACTTCCTCACGATGCCCGTTTTTGTTTGTTTTTATCGTTCTCTTTTTTCTTCTTTTTTGGGGTTTTGTGGTTTTGGTCAGTATGTATAAAAAGCAATTTTTGCTTTGTGTTTCTCTTTCCTCACGTGAGTTCAAGTTGATGTCAGAAATAATAAGAGAATCTTCCCAGCGTGAATAGCGTGTTCTCATTAACCTCTCAAAATATTCTTTATTAAGAATAAAGTTATTTGAAAGATATTCAATGTGTATTTCTTGCAGATATTTTGTCACAATAAATAAACTTTGAGGAAAGTGCTAATCGATGTACTGAATTGAATTAATGCACCAACGATTTGTTTATCGAATGACATGCATTTTTGGAGGCGTGATACAACCGGTCCAGAAACGAACTTGTAGTTAGATAATATACACAATTCAGATAATTAACCACATTTCCACGTTTTCTCTCAAGTGGTGCGCGTCCATGTATTTGCGTTACTCATGATTGGAAATATTGTTTTAATGCAATCGGGCTATGCTTTCTCAGGTAGGCAAAAGTGAAAGTTTTTAACTGGGATGGCACTGTCGGAAAAAACGGATCGAGAGATGCACACCCATTTTGTTGGACACAAATTCCACTAAGACTACACGATTTAACACTTACCCCGTCCTACCTAGCCTGACAGGTACACTGACTGGCCCAAGCAACCATAAACAAAAACGTTGCACATTTAAATTTTACTACATTTGTTCATTTTTGAAATGCTCTTGATATGTCATTTTGTCATTTGGGATGAAAAAGATTGGGTACTACTTTGAGGTTTTTTGAATTACTTGTACTACGCCGGCTAAAGGTTTTCAATTTTCTCAATGTTTTGTCGAGTTTCGCTACTGTACAAGAACAATGTGCACTATTGTTGGAAACGTACGACAATGACAATTTATGAAATAAGTGCTCATAAATCATTGTTTCATTTAGGCGTTGAAACTTGAATTTAGATTATAAAAAAGTACTTACATTTATTTGATTTGATGAGGACAGATTATTAATGCTTTAAGGCAAGTACGTATGTTCAACAGAAATGTTTTTCTTAATACACCTTCATCGAGTTCTTTTTTAGTTTTTTTTCACGTTCTCTTCTAATTTCTTCTGATTCTGTTTAGTTGTCAGATTTCAGAGTTTACATACTTTGTTTAGTAGCACACTATTTTAGGACGTACGTAAAGAATTATGAATATGAAATACCTATTTAAATGTTTACTTCTTTTCAGAGTATAACGAAGTGTTTAGTATTTAAAGTTATTTTAGCCCAACTCAACCCATTGATGAACAATTTACCAAACTATCACACCTACATCGTAATGGACATAACCGTTTCGGGGTATGTTTTCAACCTTTTTTCCCACGCTAGCACGATCCTGAATCGAAAGACATCGACGAGAATTAAGATAATAATAAGTCCAATAATGTTTGTGCGAACATCATTGTTTGCACGAACTAATCGTCCAACGATGTTTGCGTGAACCAAGTCCGTTGTTTTCTTCTATCCTGACATTTTTTGACCCTATTTTCGTACTACATTTTTAGTCTTCAACCTGTCTGTTCTCCGAGTTCTTTGAACTCGTCCAATTATCTTTTCTAATTTTTCCCCAGACCCATCTACTTGTATCAGGACTTGCTACCATCTTATATAAACCTAGCAACACACCATCTTCTCTCAAATAGCCATCCAGTGTTATCTCTACTAGCGCATCGGCTTAAGGTGGCCCAGGGAATCTTTTGATGTCAATTCAGTCCTTCTGACTTGGAGGTCCTAGGGTTTCACTACCAACTTGATGGGATTTTCATGATGGATGGCAGGACACGTAGGCCGAATTCAACCGCTGTCTGGAGAATTGTAGCGGCTCTGCTGGTAGTTTTTCCTTTTTTTCTCCGATCAATAGAAGGCAAATGGGGAGCAGTACCCTAACAAAGGAGCCACAGACGTAGCGCGATCTTTCCTTGCTTGTCCTTTTCCTAGTCTCACTCCTTACTTACTCACGTAAAAACGTACGTTCACTTCACTATCATACATGGCAAGTGACCAGACGTGCTTGTTTCTGCTGACGCGCTGCCCGGCTGGTGGGAGAAAACCCCACTAGCCGACGTGTAGATCGTCGCCATTCACCAGGAGGAACTCCGCTCGATTAGCGCATGCACTACACTTATGGGAATAATGACCTCAGCAGTTGACGCTCCAGGAAACAATAATCAATAATTCGACCAACCAGCACGTTTGCGTTTCGTCTTGATGGCATTAGTGGTAGATCTCATTGATACCAACGGTTAAGAATAAGGTGGTTAGTTACAAGCAGAACATGCGCAGCGTCTCTTTCTGTAGCATAATAATCATTGATGATCTTTTTTTCATTTGCGCTGACAGTATTTGGCATGTGTACTCACAGCTCCGTGACCATTGAATCGAAAGAAACTACTATTCTGGTATGCAAACAATTTAAGGCAAATCATTTCACTGAGAATTAAACATAATGAGACACCGAAGGTAATGAGAAGGAACCCTTTCAACTTCTTTGCGACGCTTTGTTGAAGCACTCGTCATGTTGGTCTTGAATCCCTCAAAGGAAGACACTT